GCTTGAGTGGGAAAAGAAGACCAGTGGCACCCGGCCCCCGCTCCTTTCCGTAGGGAAAAACGACGATGTTTAATTTAAAAGGGCATAAATATAAGAGAAATGCCTCTTTACTTTCATGTTAGTGGCTGGCTATTAAATTACATCACAAGTGCTACGTGTGGGACCGGGCAAGTGCACGGTTATTTCTGTCTTCTAAACCGGAGTGCAAGTCTCAGCGTAATTACTTTGGATCCAAGTGTAATTACCAACTGATCTGCAGGAACATACACAGCAGTGACATCCATTCAAGGCAGCGTTAGAGCCTGGTGATAACACAGCATCATTAACACAGCTTAGCACTTCCCTTCGTGGCTACAGGCCACGGTTTTCCTCGGGAAAGGGCTCAGGGTTTGTCGGCCGAGGCCGGGGATCTCCTCGGGAGTCACCTGAGATCCTGCCCCCGGCCATCGCGGCTGCGTGTGCAGGATGTGTGAGCAAATCAGTGCAGACAATAGCAGATATGATATCCTAATCAGGGGAAATTAAGCTGGAGCAGACTTTTTTCCAAGATGTGCCTCATTGTTTTGGTATTTCTGCAACCTGTCCCTTTTTTTTTTTTTTTTTCCCAAAGTATTGAAAGCCATGAGAAGGAGGGTGTTGAGTTCCTCTGTCACTCCTGAGGTCAATATTTTTTGTTCAGCTTTCTCTGTTTTACTCTGCTTTACTGTGACAGCATCATGCTCAGATTTTGGAATATTTTCTCTTGAGTTCACACCTCATCTGTCTCCTTTCAGAAGACAGCGGGTATGGGGATTTTCTTTTCTTTATTCTTTTATCTTTTTTTTTTTTTTTTCCCAAGGCTGCAAGCATCACAGTAAACAACCCATTTATTCTGATGGTCTTGAAAGCTTTCTCTACACCTCCAAGAAGGTCAGAGAAATGCTTCAGAAAGAGAAAAGGAGGAAAAAAAATCCTCCTTTCTTTTGAAAATTGCCTGGTTTGTTACCACACATTGCTAGTGCTGTGGTGCTCCAAAGACAATGCAACAGACCAGTGCAGAAATGAAGACACTTTAAAGAAAAATAAAATGCATTTATTTTGAAAGTTGGTGTTTTCAGGTATCTTCCTCATAAATACAAACAAATGAAAAGATGACAAAACACAACTTGACATAATTTCTCCTAAGAAGTAAGGACCCTAAAATTATACAAATAAGCAAGAAAATATCTCCCAGCTCCTGTGAGTAACAATATATTTACTCACAGCTCAGGGTCAGTGATGGTGAAGTGAGATTGACAGGATAACTAACCCCTGGAGGAGTTTTTCCATTTTGGGCAGTCCTGCTAAGCCATGCTTGCTGCTTTGAATGAGCTCAGTAGCACAGAGATATCTTTTTTTTTTTTCCCCTGATTTTGCTTATGTGCTGGTTTTATCCGAGCAGCTCCGCAGATGTCAGCGAGGCACGTTTTGTTTTCAGTTCCATCAGCGTAAATCACAACTGATCCAGTGAACTCAGAGACACCCACTTTGCAGGGAGATCTGTGACACTTTGAGTTTGGTGCCACGGTATTGTGACAGCTTAAAGCCCCTCCATGAAGAAACAAAGTCAGGCTCAGCACTGTCCTGAAACACATTACAAAGCATGTTTGTTATTGCACAGAAGACAGCATTTGCCTTGGCTGTGAAAAAGAAACCCAGATCTGTAACAGCTAAGATTTCATCTCTATCATTTATCCAATGAGCTTCCCAATCCTCTTGCACAGATACCCTGCTGCTAACATAGCAGTCAAGATCAGAGCACTTAATCAATCATTCACTGAGGACAAATATGCGTAATCTAAATTAGAACAAACCGAGGCATATTTTATATGACAGCCGTGCAGATTTTTAAGAAAAAGCATTGGCAAGAAAATTGCCTGAAAACAAAATTGTCTTGTGTTTATGCTTAAAGTGGTAGATTTCCTAAAAGCTTCAGTGGCACTGGGTAGCCTTAAATATACAGGGGCAAATTCTGCTCTCGCTGTTCCCACTTCCACATTTTCATCAATGAACAGGGGATTCATTTGGCCCCTCTGGCTCTAAAGCAGAAAGCCTGCTGCAGACCTCAATATGATGTAGAGTCCTTCTTAAAAACCTTTCATATTTTATGATCACTGTCGATTCTCTTATGATCAGTGTTGGTTCAGGCTCTCATGAATCAAAAATCAGCTCGTAGCACGCATCTTAGAGCAACCTATTTGTCTGCAGGTAGCAAAGGGAAGTGGTGCTTTGAAGAATAAACCCCTCTGCCTTCAGAACAAAGCACAGCCTGCATGGGAGGCTGGAGCAACTTAGACCTTCTATTCAGGCTCCGCTCTGGGCATGCTGGGTGGCCTTGTGTTCTCCCATTTTCCTCTGGGTGAGATATTATTTATCCATGATAATAAAATACAGGATTCTTCGACTACAACTGATGGTTTAATCTATTGTGTCAACTTGCACAAGCTCACTTGGAAAAAAAAAAAATCAGAGGCAATAAAAGGAGTAAAAAATGAAGCATCTTTAACTGAAGCCATACAACTTTCATCCTAGGTCAGACCCATGTTGCCCTGACTCTGCAGGTGGGATCTCCAGAGAGGAGCATCCCAGAGATGGCCTTTGAGAGTAGACAACAGCTCCTGCATGGTCCACAGTGCCTATCAGGCTTGGAGACCCTTCAGCTTTGGGTACAAACCCAGCAAGCAGCAGGAAGGTTTGAGACCAGCCAAGCCACTCACAGGGCAGGCAGCACTGATTTCTGAAAGGAGGAGTTCTGAGAAAACACTGGAAGTATCTGTGCAAACAATGCCTTTCCCACATCCCTCTGCATGTCAGGCTCTAAAGAGCTGCTCTATCCTAGTTCTGCCTCTGCTTCTCCAGAATGAGAAAATTCTCCCACAGAATCTCACACATCACCAAAACCCCCCATGGGGACTGGATTTCAGTTTGTTGACACATCACAGAACTTTTAAACACGCATCTCAGCCCCTGTATGAAAGCAGCTCTGATCCAGAGTGCAGCAGGGCTCATTTGCTCCCCTCTGGCTTGGTTTTGGAGGGACCTGTGAGGTTTTCCAGGGACAACTGTCAGGAAGTTGATTTCTTCTCCCAAGCAGCTTGCTGAGGTGAGACATTGCCATCAGGGCTGCTGGCATGGGCAGGTTTGATCAGTCTTTAGGGAGATGTTGGTAGAATCAATGACCTGATATTGCAAGTAAAGGCAATGCTGAATACCCCAGAAATGTCTGCGAAAAGCAATAGCAAGAACTTTTTGGAAAACTTTATCTTGGGTGTCCAAGCAGGAATTTGTATGCCTACTTGCTCATTTTTGAAGCCAGAGGTCATATATGCATCTTACTAGGATCTCTAACTAGGAGGAATAAGTCTCAGCCTCAAAGATCAGAGCTGAACATGAAGCTTCTTTATGCTTAAGGACAAGACAGAGCCTTCATTTTGGATGAAGTCCGTCTCTGTTGAGAGAAGGCCTTGCTTCTCAGAAAGGGACAGTTAACCCCAGAGTGCAGACACTTTCCTTTTAGCACAGCCACGCTCTGTGAAGTGCCAAAATCCTGTCTCAGGTTGTCTCCAATAAATGAAAGAACCCCTGCCCCTTCCCATCCAAACCCAGATATGTTTTCAAGTGCTGACTTCTTCATTGTTTGCATCAGTTTCAGGTTGCCAGCTCCTGACAGCTCCAATCTGCCCAAACCTGCATGGCCCAAGCAACTGCCACGGTTGAGTCACGATTTGGAGCAGTTGGAGTGATATGGTTGACATCACTTCTTGGATTCACCAGCCGTATTATTTGGTAGATTTATTGGGTACCACTAGTACCACAAGGCCAAACTGACACCACCTCCTTGGAAAAAGAAATCCCCACATCCCTGTCAGCTTTGGGGCTTTGCCTTTTTTATATCCCTCATTTTGTAGAGCATTTATGCAGGCTGGACATAATTACCCAAAGCAGAGTGAAAAAAAAGACTCTGCAGGTATCAGTGACCTGGGAGCAGGGCTCCCACTTTTCATCACCGATACAGTTTCCAAGAAACACTTTGAATTACATTTTAAACTTAGATGTTTAGTTATTCCACCACAAATCCCTGCTAAAGTGCATCAATGCGTGGCCTGGCTAATTCTTTTAACTTCATTTTTTTGTTTTTAACTTCTTATGTTTTGATTCAGTCACTTGACTGGAAGGCTGCTGTGTGAAGGTGCACAAGGGTGGACTGGAGCATCTAAATGGAGGCCCCCCAAACATGAGCATTTTCCTCTTAACCTTCCAGCACCAATGGGAATAATAATTCCTCGCAGGGCTGTTGCACAGTTTGATTCATTAAGGCTTATGAAGTGCTTTTAGCTCCGGCACTGGAAGGTTCTGTGCAAGTTATTTTGGACTGCTCAGGTGTTAGGAGAAGAGGCACTGCAGAAAGAATACAAATAAATCAAGAGAAACTGCCCCTTCCCTCCATCCAGCCCCTGCCCCCCACTGTTCTCCATCACTGTTGGTGTCAAACAGTTAATTTACAAGCCCAGCACTTTACAAAACCCCTGGAGCACCAATTGTCCCTTTCTCATGCGACATCAGCTCCTCCAAACAGCCAGCTGAGTCCCTGAGGGTCAGCCTGCTCCTGCCCTTCCCAAGGCAACTTCAACCCCTGTCCAAAACTGCCTGGGTACTTATTTTGGAACAAGTCAGATCCAGCATCATCCCCTTGCAGCCAGATGCACTGGAATAAGCCCGGGGTTCCAAAATGTACCATGTGCCTGGCCCAGGAGGCAATATTCAACTGGGAAAGGTGACTCAGATATCCCACCCAACCCACCACCCACAAGGGCAGCATCCCCACACTCAGGAGCAGGGACTGCTCAGCCTGGCAGGACAAACCAGGAGAGCGATAGGTAAAGGAACAGGCTCATTGCTGGGGAAGGTAAAAGGCGGTGGATCTTTCACATGGCTTTTTTTTTTTTTTCCCTCCCTCGCTCCATCTCCCTCCCCTCCTCCAGTCTGTTGCACAGGAGCTGTCGGCCATGCTGTTCCAGTTCAGGGGCTCCTGCAACAGAAAAGATCAGCTGTTGGAGAACCCATGGAAAGCCCTGGGGGAGAGCCATGGCCGCAAGGTAATCAGCAGGCAAAGTTATTACCATTATGCTGCTAATTAATTCCCAGCTCATTACGTTTCCTGTGGCTAATTTGTACTCGCCGCTGATTTGATTAAACTCATCTCTATGCTAATAAATGTGTTTTCCATTTGTTTTAGCGACTGTAGGAAGAGAGCCCGGTATTTACATATTTTGACGTTTATCAAATAAAACGCGGCGCCTGAATTAATTCTGCTCTGATTTATAAGTGGAGGGGGGAGGAAGGGGAGAAAGGGGATGCTGAGGGTCAGGCGTGCATGGCGTGTGCGTGGCGGTGTTTGGCAGTGGGGGCTGCGCCGACGGGAGATGCTCCCGGGCATTCCATCCTCACCTGCCCCATCCTGCACAGGGATGGCTCCTGCAACCTCCTTGGCTGCTCCCCTTCCATTTGTTTCCCCTTCCCAACTAAGTTTTGAGGCACACGGGGCTTTGATTTGTAGGAACATCGCACGGTTCACCGACACCTCGTCAGGTGGATTTTTCTTTGTCTCTCAGAAATTGCTCTAAATGAAGATTAGATTTACACTGCAGCACCTCATTATAAGCAGTGACTGTGTTTCCCAGTTCCGTTTGTCAGGATTCGCTACAGTGATATCAGAGGGTTTGAATTTCTAATGAGACAGGGAGGAACAGACACCTTGCCATGCACACAGATATATTTTAGGGACATAGATGTAAGGTAGGTTAGAGAGGTAAATTTTACCTTTCTACCCCTGGTAAATGGCAGGGCAGAAAGCTCTGTCTGGCCCTTGAGCATCTGCCTTTTAAACCCGAGACTAACTCCTCAGGGCAGACCTTCAGCAAGTGAAACTACATTCAAAACAGTCCTGGTTTTCTGCAATTAACTGCTGCAGTATTAGTCTCCTCTTCATTTGGGGAAATCCTAACAGAAAAAATACTCTGAGAGTGTAAGTCAGTCAGATCTGTGCTTTTCATCACTAAGGGCTTGTGAAATCCAGCCTTTCTTTTTCCTAAGATAACTGGTAATTGTCACCAAGCACATCCCCTATCTCTTCATGTGTGTTCACGTGTGCCATATTCAGCTGGTTCATACAGGCCAGACCCTTGCATGGCTTGGGGAGGGCTGGGATGGGGGCAAGGCAGGGAAATGCTCCTCTTCTGGGGCTGGAAAAGGCACACCGGCTCAGCAGGGATGCCTGGGAGCCCAGGACATGTCTGACACCTCCCAGTCCTGCTCCCTGGTTTCATCTGGAAGTTTGGCTCAACCCAAGAGGATTTGCTTTCCCTCTGCATGCTCATTTTGGGCTGGATTTTCTGGTTTCTCTCCCAGGTGCTTCATGCTCGCAGTCACACCAGTGGCCCCAGGGCAGCCCGCAGTTTTCATTCACACTCCCAGTAAGTTTCTCAGCAAAGAGGGGCCCCAACGATGCCACTTCTCACTCTGGCAGTGAGACACCTTCCACTGCTGCTGCTTCACCCCAGGCAATCTGAAACAGCTTCGTTGCTTAAGTAACAATTAACAGCCCTGTCTTTTGGGAGTGCTTCTGGTGCACAGTGCATCCCCTACTCCGGAGCCTGCGTATTCCTGCCGTGTTACCTAAACCGTGGGTGTCCCCTGGCTCCTGCCCACCCCTCAGCATTCTGTGTGGAAGGGTCATGGTGGGCTGCACCGTGCTGCCAGCCCACCCCAGGCTTGGCCACAGCCATGGTGATGTTTTCTCTCCTCTTTCCCTTGCTCTGAGGCCGCACAGCCACACCTGGATGCGGGGAATGGAAGTGTCCCCCTGGCAATGCAGCACCCAGCAATGCAGGTCCCCCAGCAGGGTTGGTCCAGCTGTGCTGCCAGACCGTGGCAGGAAATCCCTGGGCTGTTTTTAAAATCAGGTCCTCTGCAGAGAGGAGTTGGAGAAGCCCTGTCTAGCCTGATGCTGGGCTCAGGCCTGGGCGATGGGGCCACCCCTGACCCTGAGCACCACCTTGGCTGCACACCCAGAGTCCTAGAGCTGCAGCACTGCCCCAGTACCACTACAGCAACCAGCTGAGCAGTGCAGTGGTGGATTGCTGGAATTTTCTCTTCCTATAAAACCTTTTAAGCCTTTGCAAAAGCGGGAAGTATTACCGACAAAAAACCCGCCTTGTTTCGTGTTAGCAGTCAGAGGTGGGACAATGGCCACACGCTGCATGGTATCAGTGTCACAAAGAACGGAACCAAAAGGCTGCAGCTCAGGACAAATAAAAGTAACATTGATTCCTTTTTATTTTTCCTCTCTTTTTTTTCTTTTTTTCTTTTTTTTTTTTTTTTTTCTCCAGCTAGTATCAATACATTAAACAACCACGCTGGAAAAGTGAAATTGATTCAAGGCCTTCAGTGCTCCCTGCCAAAAAAGCCTCCTGCAAGGATCTATTCTGTATTGAATTACAGTCTGGAAAAGTTCAATAGGTTATTGTACAAACAGAGAGCAAAAGCCCGTCAACAATGGAGCCAAAGTGATTGTGCAGCTCCTTTGTGCTTGCCAGCCCCGTGCCCCTCACAAGCTCGGATGTTAAATCAGTTTAATTAAAATGGTGGGCTTCAAATGCCTCGCATTTTTTTAGTGCATCTCCCTGCGTAAAGACATGTAGGCTGAGGTTTAAAGCCGCCTGCCTGCACTGACAGGTCCTCCATCCCTTTCCTGGGCCCTAAATCACAGCGGATTTTTACAGCTGCTGAGCACTTTGGGCAGATGCTGGGTCTGAGCAGCACTAGCAGCCTCAGCCCATCCAGAGCAGCTCCATGCTCCCTGCAGCCTGTCCTGCCAGCAGAGGCAGCCCTAGGGATCATCACATCTCCCTTTACAGAAAGTGGTGGTGGTACCTCTGAGTGGAAACACACTTTGGGTGAGCCCCTGTGATTACCCTTTGGCCAGGCCCTGTCCTTGCAGGTTGGAGCTGTGCTTTGTGCTCTATAAATGTACTGGACTTGGCTGTGGGACCCTCCAGCTCTGGTGTCCTCCCTGGAGGGACTGGGTGCCCCCCAGAAAGCAGCAGGGTGAGGTCCCCGATGCTGCAGCAGGTTTGTCATGGGTCTCACTGCAGGGTCTCCTCCAAGCAGGAGGGAGACACTCTTGAGTTACATCAGGGTTTCTAAATCCCCCTCTCCATCTCTAATTAAGATTCAAATTGAGTATAGAAATCATGTGTAAGTAAGATGCTAATTATTAAAGTCATTGATCTCCTAGACAATAAAGGAGCCTCGCGTTTCTGGCCTGCCCATGTTTTGAGGCAGCTCTGAGTCCTCACAGTCATAAACATCTGGGATATCCGGAATCCACACTGGAGAAGTGTGTAAATGATTGATTTTGTGGAGAGGTAAAGCCTCCATCTTGCTCTGAACAAAACCTCTTTACCCCAGCCCCAGCTGACCCCAGCCACATGTCTGTCTCTCTTGATAGCTCTGCTCCCTGTAATGACATACAACAAATTTTGGTCCCCCCCACCTCACTGGACACCTGGTGATGCCCCTGTCCATGCTGCACCAGTGCATTTATTTTCTCATTGGAGTAAGCAGGATTTACTACTTGGTGCATTTACTGGCTTCTTCTCAGCTGGTGTCCTTGCCATGATGTCTGTCCATCCTCTCCACTCCATAGCTGTCCCCTCTGTCACAGTGAAGGAGGGCAGCAGAGCTGGCCAGCTGCAGCAGCAGGGTTGAGCAGGTTTGCTCATGAGCCACATAGCAAACCCACTGGGCAGGATGCATCAAATATCCTTCCCTTGTCCCCGAAGTGGACAACCTTCACAGCTGAATATCCTACATAGGAGTCATGGGGCTTGGGGGAAAGGTGCTCTTCCTTTGCAAAAATATGTGAAAGAATGGCTGGAAAATTACAGGGATTAAAAATTACGTGGAAAGCAGAGTGGAAAACCAGTGTGGGGCCAGGCTGGAAGGTGGGGGCAAAGCCTCACCATGGGAGGATGAAGGTGGCTGGTGCTTTAGTGGCTGCAGCAAAGGCAGGCTCACAGGAAAGAAAAGGCTTGGGCTGCAGAAGAGAGGGATGCTAGCCTGGAAACACAGAGTGCAGTACCACACTGCACCAAAAAGCTGGAATTAACATCAAAGCAATCCTGGAGCAAATGAGATTACGGCATGCATGTTAATGAGGCAGCAGCGCTAATCAGCCAGGATGCCTCGCTGGGAGGGCTGCAGTGCCAACTTGTGATTTTTGTTGTCAGGCTGGACCCAGTTTCCATTTGGAGTGAAGATTTTGTTTGGTTTTAAAAGCATCAGTATTTTTGTGGGGTTTCAGGCAATCTCAGATTTGATTTGATTTCTTCAAGTAGATGTCTGGCCCTCCAGGGTACACAGAAGAACTCGGAAATGGGATTGAAGTGGTCCCCAGGGCCAAACTGAGAACCACTCCAAAGCCAAGAAGCAGATGAAAGTTGCCCAAAATGTATTTTACTCTGTTTTAAAACGTCATTATTTTTAAGCCAATCTCACCAGTTTGCACAGTTGAGTGCACGGCTTTGCACACAAAAGGCAGTGTATTTGTGTGCCAAGGTTTCCTAAGGAATATGAAGCCACTCAAGAGGTGAGGGGTTCAGCTCTGCTCACACTTGCAGCAGGTTTTTTCCCAGTGCCACAATGCTGATGTCACAGTTATACTTCTCCACTGAGCTCCAAAATTGGAGCTTTCTAAAGTCAAGGGCCCTCAAAAAAGCACTTGGTTGGGAGATGTGCAGCTTCAGGCAAAAAGCTGTAAAAGGGGCAGCCCCTCCCCAGGGAGGCTTAGCTGGGCTGGGGAAAAGGATGGCAGGAAGGTAAGGGTAAGAAGGGAATCTTGAAGAAGGAAGGAATTGAGATAAGGAAAGGCAGATAAGCTGCTCACAAGAATTAAAAGGGCAGGACCCACAGCAGAGGACGGGCTGTGGTGAGCTCTATCTCTGCCTGAAACCTGGGGTGCTCCCAGAGGCCAGAGAACAGATTCATCTTGGTCAGAGAAACTTTCAAGCAGGGTCAGGAAAATGGGAACCTTTCTGAGGCTTTTCATCTGTCTCTGTAGCAAAATGACCCCATGGGAGACAGAGAAAGGTGGAGAAACAGCCACACCAGGGTATGGGAATGCTGCAGCATGTGCTGTGAGGGTTCAAACCACTCCAGGGATCAGCCCAAGCCTTTTCAAGGTCCCTCTTGAGCCCTTTTTATGGAAAATGCCTTTCTGATCAACTCCTTCTGCAAGGAAACGAGACTCGTTTTGATCTGTTTTTCAAACAGCCTTTCTTCTTGATTGGAGAAATTGGCTTAAATGAGTCTCTCTCCTTTTTCCTAAGCAAGGCTGCAATTTATTTCTGCTTCCTTCTCCTTTCACCAATAATCTCATTTGCTGAAATTGTGAATAAAACAGAATTTGAGACATCTGAGTGTTTACAGAGCAGAACAACATGTTTTATGTTTGGGTTTGCCAGGCAAACATGTCTCTTCTGCAGGTGGCTCTGAGCAAGGTGCAACAGTGGCTGCCAGGAGAGCTGATTCTCAGTTCCCAGCTCTTGTCCAGCCCTGAGAAAACATCTTCTCTGTTTTTGCTTCATGGAGAGCAATGATGTGGCTCAGACCATGGGTACCTTTCCTGCCTTACTGCAGAGGAGCTGCAGATACCAAGTGCATGGATCTGATCAGAGCAGTGGAGCAGTGGAGAAATGGGGGAGTAACCAGACAGGCCTGAGAAGGTGCAGATGTACCTCCCTTCTGCCACAGATTTCCATGGCTGGGAAAAGAAGCTGTTCAGCAGCGCTTTCCATGCCAGGGAAATCATTAACAAATTAATCATTTACTAATTAAACGGCATGATTCCCGTGTAAAGGGAGTGTGATTATCCTCTTTTATAAGTCAGGAAACTAAATGGCCTTCCTGATTTTAGACCAAATTTGCCCTTCCTACAACCCCACAGCTTTGCTCTGTGGCCAAAGAAGGTTCTTTAAAGCACCCACCTCTGCTCACCAGGGAGAGAAACCACCCTGACATGCACCACGTCAGGCACCACTGCTGCCTGATGGCTGTTCCCAGGCTCCTGCTGGAAAGTGCTGGAGGCTTGGCTGGAGTATTTTTTGCATGACCTTTCCATATATGGAAATATATGGATGCTGGAGGGTTGGAAGACCCAGGCAAGGAGGTGTGGCTGCATCCTTGCTGGGCATCCCAAAGGCTTGCTGGGTGCACTCACACCCTGCACCAGCCTTCCAGATGAACCTCGGTCTGCAAAAATTATCCAGAGTCAGGAGAAGTGAGCATAATGAGACCCAAAGCCTGATCTTCTTTTCACTCTTCTGATTTTATTTGGATCACGTATGTGAAATTAAACCCCTGCTTTATCCCAAATGACAGCCTCTGGCAACAGGCTTCATCTGCGGCGTATGAGAATACATTTATTTAAACAGTGAGAAGGAGTGAAATTGGGAAGGCAGAGCAGTGGCAGCACTGTTCATGAAGCCCATGGAATGACCTTCCTCACTGCAGGTTGGAATCAAGTCTCTGGGATGCAGTGAAAGAAAATCTATAGTTAAATGCCAAATTATTGCATTGCAGGAACGTTTGTCCTTGCTAAGACCTCTCGTACCATCCCTACCAAAGGACCTTCCACTGAAGTGCTCAGATAAAGCAGAAACTCCCCAGAAATAAAGCCAAAATTTTCCTCCTTCCTTCATGATCCCGAGGAGTCCGGCTCACAATGCTGACACAGCGCCTCAGCCCGAGCCCTGTGCACCTCCATGGGGTTGTCACAGGTATTTACTTTTGCTAAGTGCAGCTCATTATTATTGCCTCCTCTGGAGCTGTAGAGCGATGAAAACTAATTCCCCACGGCCTTGCCCAATAACTTTTGGAACAGTATATTTTCCAGTTCTCTTTGCTTTGTGTTCTGGTTTCACACACTCAATCAAGTGCGGGTGTCACACGGTGAAGTGGCCCCGCCTGCCGCAGAGAGAAAAGCCTGCTGGACTTTGCTGGGCGGTTGTTTGCTTTGTGTTGTATACACAGAACAAAAATTAATTCAGGAGCAGCCAGGAAAAAAACCCCATTGAGATTAGGAGCACAGAGATATAATGGTCTGGAAACCGAAGCCTTGCTGACTCCAGGAAAGTAGGCAACATCTAAGACGGTTCGTTTCCCCATCATAACTCAATACAAATAAAGGGAAGAAGGTGGATGGAAATGGAGTAAATTATTTCGCTGCCTAAAGCGACAGATGAGCAAAAACAACTGGGCTGGCTTCTCCAGGCTTTCAACACTTTTGCATGCCTTAAAAGATACCACATTCAGCCACCTGCTACTGAACTTGGTGGTGGCTGTCCATCCAAAGGTTACAACAACCAGGCAGTCCAGTATGGTTTCCCAGCTTGATTTCCTCAGCAGGATTTTGTAGGGATAAGGTGGCACAGGGGTGATGTCAAAGAGCCTTCTCACCCATTCACTGCTCCTGGGAAAATAAGGAAGCTTTTATCCTTTGGGCACAGTGGCAGAACACAGTTTGAGTTGCTCATTAGGGACCAGATTTGTCTGTTGCTCCTTTCAGAGGCTCCTGCCTGCTGCCCAGTGCCTGTGCACACCCAAGACAAGCCCTATTTTTCTAAGTCATAGCACATCTCTAATTCAAACACAAAGTGAAAGGATGCTGGAAAGCCACTGGCCTTTATGGTTTATTAAGCATCTTGTGCAGGCACAATTTTAGATGGGATTTTTTTAGACTTGACCATTTCAACCTTATGTTGCACCTCACAAAGCCCACCAAGCCACTGCCTCTCCTGCAAAGAGATGGAAGAACTATGGGGGACATCCCACCTTCGTTACTGAAAGATTCCATGATTCTGTTTTTTTAAATAACAGTCATATTTATAAACAGCTCTTTATTAAACCGTCCAAACATATCATCTGCACTGGAGGATGTAAGGGCTGACACCAGACAAAACCATCAGATTGCTCTGAGAAAATGCACTGGCTTGTCTTGACAATTTAGGACTCTGTGGAATACCCTGTTCATATTTGCTGTTGATTTTAAGACTGAAATTTGCAGTATGAAAACAGACATGTCCAAGAAAACATTGCTCAGCTTAAACTTAAAAGGACAGAGATGCAAGATTACAGCAGAGAGATGCAGCTCCTGGCTCCCAGCCCTTTCTTAGGAACCAGCTTTCACTTTGCCTTGGGCTTTTGGTCTATCAGCATCTAATGAAAGATGACAGTGCAGGCTCCCTTAGGGGCTAACGTGGGCAATTTCAGTTCTGGCATTTTAATTTATCTGTAACCAGCAGTTTTCAAAAGGGTAGAGCTAAAAAAGAACTTGGCTTGGTCACACACACACACAGACAAAAAGGGGGGAGTTGTGACATAAAATGCATGAGGAGGTTTGCTTGAGTTTAACTCCTTGGGCTCCTGTGATGCCACACTGGAGCCTGGAGCCCTGGCTGTGTCTCTTGGCATGATGGTTGGACACTGTTAACCCTATGCAGCTGGTTTCTCTTTAGGTGAAGTGGATTCCTCCATGGTTTATGGCTGTTGGTTTTAGTGCTGGGCACATCTACAATATTCCTGACAGTTAAGGTCTCGACTTTTCCCATTTATTAATCCCTAAAGTTTCATTCAGACACTGTAATGGCAGGAGGTTAGCTCAGGATCAGTAGCAGCCATAAATCCAGAATTAAAGGCTGTGGGTTGGTCTCCAAGTCACCCTGTGGTGCTTGGGTGCTGGGGGGGTCAGAGCCTGCTGCGGGCAGACACGAGCACTCACACGCTCACCACACGTGTGCCGCTGCCCCTGCGGCACCCTGGGCTGCCATGGATGCCCTGCCCGTGCCCCAGGGAGATGGGAGCAGCTCAGCCCTCACTCTGGACTTCCCATGGCATTTTTCTAGCTGTGTTTCCTGAGATCCCACGTGCCTGGGTGTGCAGAACTGAGGGTTATCGTGGCAAGCTCGGTGCTGACGCAGCCGGGGCTGCAGAGCCGCTGGTGAGAGCGCGTGGCACCGGCTCACATCCGAACCTCATCAGGAGCTTTTGACTCCATCTATTTGTTCCCTGGCTTGTTCCATCACACCCTCCAGGCACCTGGTGAACCTCTGGGCACCCAATAGTACCAGTGAGCTCCTGAAGGATGGATCCAACCCAGCCCCTGCCTGACCAGCGTTGGGGTTGCAAAAAAAGACTTCATTCGGGATCGAATGGGTTAAATCTTTTAAAATTTATTTATTTAATTATTTATTTTACTTCTTTTCAGGGAAGAATTTCACTTTGCTTTTTTTTTTTTTTTTTCCTCTCCCTGCTGCCTCCAGAGGACCAGGCAATTCCAGGCACAACTCTAGCAGATGGTTTTGGTGATGGAAAGCACAAGGGGATCGCTCCCAGGAGCTGCTCAGGCAGTTAAGTCAAAAATGAACTGATGCATGTAGTGAGCCACGGCCCTGGCCCAGCCGACTCCAGGCACTTCCCTCTGTACAAGCAGCCTGTGCTGCCCCCATTTCTACACCCAGCTTTCTCTGCCTCTAATCAGAAAATCTTCTGGAAGGGGGGATTGAGCTTTTCTCTTTCCTGAGCTCTCTGAGCCAGCTTGTGTCAGAGAAAACAGAATGTGAACCCCAGTTCAGCCATACCTCTGCTGATCCTGCCCACCACAGCATTGCCCTGACACCCCACACCGATGAAAACCTGATCATGCTGGAGACCAGGAGATTATTTTTTTTAATGTTTACACATTGTAATGTAAAACCTTCACCTTTTGTCCACAGTAAATATTGCCAAAGTTGTGAAGTAAGAAAAGCAAATCCATATTTTGTCAATATTAGCCCGATAAACAAAATTTGAGAATTAAATGCATTCTGTGTTTAGCAAATGAAAATTAATTTCTGTTATGTGAGAACTGACTTTCTTAACAACATTTCCCTTCCTTTAGTGAAATAATCTAGAGGTATATTAGGAACTACAAACATTTTTCAGGAAAACTATACATAATTTATAGAGAAGCAGATCTGAATTAGCTATAGCATTGCCCTGAGCTTTCCTACAGTCCATAGGTCTGGATCTCAGCTGTGCACATGGATCTGCTCTCTCTCTCTAATGAAAACCTCTCCCAGAAACAGTTAAACACAAGAAACCAGAAATGATCCATAAATTAGGCCTGGCTATAGGTTCAAAATCATAAGTTATGGCCTATTGACCTCATACTCTGAGGGGAAATCAGAAGCATTTTTCTAAAGAGCCACCACCGGAGGAAGGGAGGTTTAATATATGGCACGGCAGAGCCCTGCTGCAAATAAATACAGTGCTGCATAACTGCAGGGAAAATCAATACATAGCATGGTGGTTAAAATAAGGATATGCACATTGAGGGTTTAGGTTTATACGTGGGAATGGTTGCTGCCCTAGAAGCAGAGGAAGATTTTTTCCTGCATTAAGACCCCTAAATATGACAGAGACAATGGCTCCTCCACTGCCCCTTTTGCAAGGAGCAACTTTCAGCTATTGTCTTCCTCAGAGCAGCTATCTGGAGTGGTCATTATTAGCATAATTAATAAGTGCAGTTTGCTCATTTGAAAAATCCCGGCGACATTCGCCGCTCAGGCGTCGTGTCAGCGCAAGACACAAAAAATCGCTGTGACAACTGTTTTGCAAGTTCAGGTTTTACTGACGAGCACCACAAAGAGATGAAGCCCAGAGCAAGTCCCTTTTCACTTTAATATTTAAACCTCTTTTAAGAGGACATCAATATTAACTCCCGTAATTGATGCTGACAGGTGACTGTCTGACCATAAAAAAGACAAGTAATAAAATTAAAAAAAAAAAAAGTAATAATAACAACCCTGATGTGCTGGTCAGTGCAGTGAAGGATGGTGGGATGAGGGATTGAAGTCTCCTGCATCCCTGATCTCTCGAAGTGGACCTGGTGATGCACCCAGGAATGGATGGGACCCTTTGGCCTCAGCTGATTTCGTTCCCCCAGGTAAAGCCCTGATTCTCCTGGAGGAGAAACCCATCCTTGCTCAACCTCAAGACCAGCCAATGCTTTTAATAAACAAATACCAATTGTAGCTAGTTAACCTCAGGATTTCCAGCATTAAAGAGATTTCCCACAGGAACCAGGCAGCACTAGAGGAATGGATAAAAGCAAAGTTCATGGGAAAGAGCACACAGCCCTTTGCAAATCCCGACTTGAGGGGAAAATACCCTGACTGTGAGATAGGTTCCAAAAATAGTGATTTATTGGACAGAGCTTTCTGATTTTCATTGATCCTGTTCTGAGAAAAGGCTGCATTGTTTCTTTTAAAATCTGGGCTAAAAGTACTCAAAATTTGGAACAATGTGAAACCAAGTTTTAATGTAAAGTGTTACATGACCTGAGTATGGTTATTATTGTTGCTCCACCTATAATCCAACCAGAAGGAATTGCTACATAGATCCTCTCCATTTATTTAAATGGAGATATATAATTTTGCTGCATTTGAGTTCTATGCAGAATATGTCAAAACTAAAAACAAAACTAGAGAGATAATGCGGTTATTAAAGCTGATAAAAGTATTTTGAATTGTGACTTCTTTTTTTTTAACTTTTGTAAATTGAAGGCAGGCAAACAGCTAAAATATCTTGTACACATTAAAAAACAGAACAGTGTTCACTACAGGGGAAAATATTTCATGAATAGAAAATTGGGATATCTAAAAGGAGAGGTTTAATAGAAAAATTATAGGTGACAATACTTCACTTTTTCTCCCAATCAGTTGAATGGCTGCATAGATAGAAATTTTTCTGAATAAACCCAAAGTATTCCAGTTAAGCCATTTCAGGTGCTTCCACTCTTACACTCATCCTTAAATGCAAACCAGTAAAATTCCTTTTCAGCACCCCTCTCCCAGCAAACAGCTCCTGCTCCGTAGGTGTTTAACAAGGATATCCCATCCAGTCCTTTTATTTATATCCTTTGTGGTTTTCCTCTGTACTCTGGGGTTCTCTGGGCATTTTTTCCTCCTTCCAGAGGAAGATGCACAACAGAAGAACTGAGCTTAAAGAGACAATAAAATGTCCTAACCGCTGCCGTGCGGCGGGGAGCAGGATACAGATTTAGTGCTAACAACAGAAAACAGGAGAGCTTTGTAGCAATTAAAGCTGAGCAAAACCCACCGAATGCTGGAGAAAATAAAAGGAGGGGGAGGGAAATCATTGTAGTATTATGAGTCTTAAAAAAAAAAAAAAATCAATATTCTTATTGTTCCCTGCAACAGTCTCACAAGGAGGGAAGAGCTGTGCCCAAGACTCTGACTGGATGCAAAATAAAAGATTAGTAATTAGATCCTTATCAAAAATGGCACTGGGAAGCCTTTGTTTAAAAGGCCTACTTGAACCAAAGCTATCCTGACTGATTACCGCTGTTAGGATTTGAAACTACTAGTATTTATGTGTGTGTGTGTGTATATATATATGTATATATATATATATGTATACACTGTTAGTATTTAAAGAAAGATGACCACTGCCATGAGCTAGCTGGTAGCAAACAAGTGTGCTTTAAATAATCATATTAGTTTCTACAACAAATAATACTAAATTAAAACTGTATTTGTGTGCACTTGTCTGTGTGTGTGTATGCACACATGTGTGACAGGTTTCATGCCAAGGAAAAAGGCTGCTGGTGAAAATTTGATGATGATGGAGTTTTTCTTTCCCATCCTGGCATCACAAATAAACTAGCCTGTGTACTGCACACTGCTGCTCTGTACAGTAATGCTTTTGTTACCACTATGGCTCTTACTTAAGCATCTGACTACAGTAATTGTTTTATACATTAACTATACTCCCTGATGGTTGCTCTATTATCTTCTTTTCCAAAATGGTGCTTGCAGATATTAGCAGCTTGATTACTCATTTTATTAACAATTTCAACACTGTGTCAGGGTTGATTTGGGAAGCAGGGTGGTACTGTGGGTCACAAGGATGTGATGGTGGGCTTGAGTTTCTGTGATGCTTTGGTGCTTCACAGCAGCTCCGAAGCCTTGAGGAGACTCAGTTTTGGTCCGAGTTGCAGGTTGACAATCCATATGATGGAGACACTTGGCTGCAGAGAAGCATTTGCATTCAGCTGCCATCAGGTCCAAAGCTGGGCAAAAGTGATTTGTGAAAAACAGGCATGGAAATGATGGATTAGCAAGGGGAGAAGGAAGCACCAAATCGCTGCAAGGCAACGACACGGCTCTTGTACACACTGTGTGTATGTGTGTGTGTGTGTGTGTGTGCACATCTCTGGGAGGGAGCTGAGGAGATCAGGACCAAATCTTATGTGTCTATGCACTAATGCCTTTTGGACATGAGCCATTTCCAGTGGGAAGTGGAAGGGATCAGGCCCTGGAAGGGGCAGGCGAGGTTTCTGCAGCGCAGAGCGTTCCCTTGCCTTTGCGCACGCGTCACTTCTGTCACCGAAAGGAAAACCAGAGGCTGATGCCAGTTATTAAATATCTTCATTATAAGGGCATTCCTTCCAGCTGACTTTCAATTTTGTTGTATCTAGAGGCCCTGTGTTAATAACTGCGTGCTAAGGACAAGTGTTCTTAAAAAACACTGACTATTGAAATCCTTATAAATAATATGCAGCTTCCTGCTCCTGATTGATAGATATATTGTACAGCTGAGCCGCCATAAAGGCAATAAATACACGTACTGTTATGGGTCATGAGTCTCAAAATTAAATCGAATGCAGAAATTGAGTCTTGACAGAATCTGAAGGGATAATGTCTTAGCTTCTCCAATTACGCAGTTCAACATTTGGATAAATCATATGAAAGTAAGTATTTAGCCCCATTTTTCATAATCACTATTAATGAGAACAAAATGGGAGCTGAGGGCAGAGGGAGAGAGTTCTGACAAGATAAATAGCATATGGGGTGTGTTGTCAGCCACAGAAAATCAAGGCTGTTTAAACCCCCTAAACAGCAGGAAGGAAAAATACAGTTAAAAAAAAAAGTAGGAAGAATAGTGGTCATGTGTTATTATCAGCGACAGTCTCTGTGTCAGGGCTTTTGAGATCTGCCTCCCAAACAACACTTAGGGCACAGAAGCATCACCTAGAGCTGCCCAGAATGGTGTGAATGACTGATACCCAGAGCACACAATTTAAATATTACCTGTTTGCACTCTGTAAAAAGCACTTAAAATATTGCTAAAAAAAGCTTCATTTAAAAAAACACAGATTCTCCCTAGCCCACAGACTGGTCCCTGTGGGTCCAGGACAGGTGTCTGTAAACACCTTCAGTAGCCACCTATTTGTGCCAGGGCAATAAAACCACCAGAAATAGCTTCCCTCGCACAGGGTTTTCTCCAGCTTTCATGCCGGGACACGCGCAGGATGTTCAGGGCTTAAAGCAAGGAGGGGAAGGTATAAATTCCGTAGTCATTTTCTATCATCTTCTCTGTCTTCCCTGCTTTTCAAGTTGAAATCACTTTAAGCATCTGAGGCAGAATTATTCTTAGAGAGTCTCTCATGAAATTAGATGTCTCTGAATTGAATTCATTTCCACTCCATTTTGTCAGCTGCTAACGCAGCGAGAGCCAGATCCTGCTCGAATTGGCTTTGAGACCTGGTCCCTGTTTCTTGAGGGGGGGAAGTTGGAAGTTGAGGCTTCACACTTGTGCCGAGTTTTCCCCCCATCGTGAGTTCCTGCCCTGCATTTTGGATTCTTA